TTTTACTTGAATTATTCACCGTTGGAAATGACTATTCTGAAATGTTGTAACTTTCAGGAACAACCATGGCCGTTCTGAAGGGTTGAAAACTTTCATGAATGGTCATGTGGTTTGTGAAAAGCAGCAACCTTTCAGAACCAGTGTTTCTTGGCTCTAAATACCTTTGGTTCCTCAGACTTTTAACTTACGAAATTTATGAACTTCATCTTCTTTTCTTCAAAATGAAAAATTCATGTACTCTACTATCGTTGAAAGGTTCGCTGACACCATTGTTTTGGGTATCAATACAATATTGAATAAAATCACTTTATCCTTGGAGGATCTATTCCACTTCAAACCTCAGATATTAGAGGAGAGTAATTTTCTTAAAATGACACTATGCATTCAGTGGACTCGCTTTCTCTTTCATACAAGTGTATGTTTTATATTCATTAATTTATTTTTTTACTACATGATCTAAACTTTGGCATATGTTGTTTCTGCAAAGTTTGGTTATCATTAGTATTAGTTTAAATATAGATTGCTTAACAAAAGTATCCACTAAACTCAATTGAATGTGTTATAGATGTCAATTATAAACAGATAACATGGCCAAAAACTACAACAAAGATTCAGTTAAGATAGTGAATTGTGATTGTAATGTGAATCATTACAGCGTAATGTAGGCAGTCATGTGTTTGTAGGCAATACTGAAGCTCTACAAAAAGGACATGATTTTGTAGACTAATATGAAAACCAGTTGATTTGCTAATTTCTATGTAAATAAAAATTTTTTAGAAATTGAAACATTCAGTAAAGTAGAATTTAATGCTTTATGAAGGAATATTGATTGTATTGAAGTTTTAACCTAATAAGAGAATATATGGGAGATATATATAGGAGATATATGAAGGAGTACTAATCCTAATAGGACTAGGATTAAGGAGTACTAATCCTAATAGGACTAGGATTAGTACACAGTAAATACTATTATTATTTTATACTATTTATTTAATACTATCTGTTATTATCCCCCCTCAAGCTGAGCTGAGCGGAAGCGAACGGAAGCTTGGAACTAAAGTAATCGTGCTCTTGGCTCGGGAGAGGCTTGGTGAGAATATAAGCCGGTTGTTCTTCAGTGGGTACATACTACACAGTCATGGTGCCGGCCTGAACTTCATCGCGAACAAAGAGACAATCAGTATCAACATGCTTCATTCTGGTGTGTAGGACGGAATTCTTGGCCACACAGATGGTTGATTTGTTGTCACAATAGAGAGCAGGAACAGTGTGAATGCCGCGGAGTTCCCGAAGAATATATGTGACCCACATGGTCTTAGCAGCAAGAAGAGCAAGGGCGCGATATTCAGCTTCAGTCGAGGACCGAGAGACCTTGGGTTATTTTTTTGTACACCAGGAGATCATGTTCGGCCCCAAAAAAATGAGAAATCCCGATGTAGATTTTCTGTCATTTTTATCATTCGCCCAATCTGAATCTGAGAAACCCCGAAGCTCCAAGTCCCCGGGTCGAATGAGTAAACCACGACCAAGAGTGCCAAAAATGTACTTGAGAATGCGTTTTAGACAATGGTAATCATGTTCACTTGGTTGTTGCATGCGCTAAGCAACTCGGTTGACATCAAACTGGATGTCAGGACGGGTAATGGCCAGATACTGTAGAGCCCCAATGAGGCTGCGGAAGTGGGTGATATCGGCAAAGTGGGTGTCGGCTCCATTCTTAGACGAAGAGTCTGCCATCGGTGTTGGTTGACTGGTGCATTTTTCCAGTCCAGCTCTCTGCAACAGATCTCGAGCATATTTTGACTGATGAAGAAATAAGCCGCTGCCTGTCCGACAAACCTCCATTCCCAGAAAATAATGTAATGGGCCAAGGTCCTTTATTTTGAAGGTAGTATGCATACCTCGAGTAACATCCTGAATGAGAGCTGCAGTAGAGCCTGTAATAATGATATCATCTACATAGACAAGAAGAATGACTGTACCGTGTGCTGAATGTCGAGTAAACAGACTCGTGTCGTGTACGCAACACGTGAAGGAACGAGTCCTTGGAGGAATGTTTTCAGACGTGTGTACCAAGCACGGGGGCTTTCTTGAGCCCATACAGAGACTTCTGGAGTTTGCAAACATGTTGAGGGAAGCGGAGATCAACATAGCCCGGTGGTTGCGTCATGTAGATAGTTTAATCAAGCATGCCATAAAGAAAAGCATTGGAAACATCCAACTAATTGATCAGCCAATTGTTGCGAACGGCGAGTGACAGTACCAGGGGAATGGTTTCCTGCCGAATAACAGGACTGAATGTCTCTGAGTAATCAAGCTCATACTCCTGATTGTAGCCTTTAGCAACCAACCGAGCCTTGTACCTGGAAATACTGCCATCTGCATTGTGTTTAATTTTGTTCACCCATTTACAGCCCACCAGGTGCCGCCCATGGGGCTTCGGTACAAGAACCCAAGTTTTCTGATCAGTCAAAGCCTTAAACTCGTCATCCATAGCATGACGCCAATAAGCATTTTTGAGGCAACAGAGTAGGTTGTTGGTTCACTATCGGGAAGGGGTGTATTTGGTAGTATGGTAGCCTGAAAGGTTTTGGGTTTAAAGATACCGGCTTTGCCACGAGTTAACATGGGATGAGTATTGGGGGGTGGCACGGGCGGTGGTGATTTGGGGGTGGATGGGAAGGACCCAAAACGGATCGGGCTGGAGATGTTGTGGGTATGGGGTGGTTCGGGTTGGTTGTGAGTGTGGGTGGTTGTTACGGGTGTATTGTGGGTGACGGTATAAGGGGTGATGAGGGGTGGTTGGGTAGTGGGTGGTGGTGTGGGGGAAGGTGGTGAGGGACCCTGTGAGTATGTTGGAAAATGGGGAAGGACGCCAATGAATGATGTATTTGTGGAGGAGGAAATAGACTCGTAGGGAAACTTATTTTCGACAAATTTGACATGACGAGATATGTAGACTTTATGAGTTTGTGGGTCAAGACAGCGATAACCCTTGGAGGTAGGATGATAGCCCAAAAAAATACAAGGACGGGATCGGGGTTGTAATTTGTGAGTAATATGAAGCCGTAGCCAAGGGTAGGCAAGACTCCCAAAGACGCGGAGGTTGGTATAATTGGAAAGTTCTTGGTAAAGGAGTTGATAGGGTGATTTGATGGAGAGGGAGTGACTGGGCATTCTGTTAATGAGGTAGTTTGCGGTGGCTAGAGCTTCTACCCAAAAGGAGACAGGGAGATGAGATTGATGTAGAAGAGTAACCACCGTTTCAATGAGATGGCGATGCTTACGCTCAGCCACCCCATTCTGTTCGGGAGTGTATGGACAGGAGGTTTGATGTATAATTCCCACGGATTGCAGAAATTGGCCAAAGACGTTATTTACATATTCCTTTCCATTGTCACTTCGAAAAAGTTTAACATGAGAATTGAATTGTGTTTTGACCATTTTTCCAAAAGTTACAAAGGTGGTGTATGTATGTGATTTGTGTTTTAGTGGGTAAAACCAAGTGTATTTTGTAAAATCATCCACAAAAAGAATATAATAGCAAAAACCAGCAAATGAAGGAACAACAGTAGGACCCCATAGGTCAGAATGAATAAGTTGAAAAGGTGCAGTTGTACGCTTCTCAGATAAAGTAAAAGGTAATCATGAGATTTAGCAATTGAACAGGAGTCACAATTGTTTACATGAATGGAAGAAAAACCTAATTGAGACATTAAAGAATTTATTATTTGAGTAGACGGGTGACCCAGACGACTATGCCACAACAGACTGTGGCCATCATCCGAAAGAGCCACCGGAGCCACAAGAACGCTTTCTGAAACTGGGTGGGCAGACGAACTTGTGCCAGGAAGAACGTACAGACCATGCTCAT